CACCCCACCCCCCGCCCCCCTTTACTCTGGGGCAGGTTTTACACTCACTGTGGGCGAGTGAAAATAGGCGATTCTATTTAACAGCTCTGACACACTATTTCCCTTCTACACTGGCCAGTTTAATTCAACACTATGCATGAATTCTTTATAATAGTCCCCAGGACCCAATTTGATCATGATGAGCCCAACTTGCTATTTACTGAGCCTGTGGTGGCAAATTACTTTCTACAGAAGCCACCCCCAGCCCACCTCCCGCAGCTAAACTGGCAGAACGGTCTGTGCCCACAGCGGGTTCCTCGCCCACTCTGGCTCGTCCCAACCACTCCTACCACCCGAACGCTAGGGGCATTGACCCCCAAGTACTCAAGAGTCAGAGCAGGGGGCTGGAGTGATAGCACAGCGGGTAGGGCATTTGCCTTGCACGAGGTCAAACCGGGTTCGATTCCCAGCATCCCATATGGTCCCCCCGGGCACCGCCAGGGGTAATTCCTGAGTGCATGAGCCAGGAGTAAGCCCTGTGCATCTCCGGGTGTGACCCAAAAAAAAAAAAACAGAGTCAGAGCAGCGTGGCTCAACAGGGATGCAGGGGTGCGAGGTGAAGGGATGCAGGGGTGCGAGGCTTCACTGCCAGGACCCAGAGACCCGCAGTGTAGAGGTGGGAATGTGCCCTTGGTCATGCTTTCCTCAGACACGTGTCACGGGGGGGGGGGGGGGGGGGGAGGGGGGGGGAGACTGAGACAGAGAAATGTGTGTTCATGCACACATGTGTCATGCAGGATGGTGCTCAGGTGACATTCAGGGGGCCACACGGCGCTGGGGATCAAACCCTGGCCCCCACAGGCTAAGCCTGCACTCCGGTCCTACTAGAATACGACCACGAATAACAGAACTGCTCAAGCACCGACAGAGCACCTCGCTCTTCTCTGGCATGCTGAGCTCGTTAAATCTTAAATAAGATCCTGCCTCTATCATATATACACGCATACGAAAATGTTGTTAGGACAATTCACTTTCAAGTTTTCCAGATTTCCCAATTAAAAAACACTCATATTATCCTGTCAAGTGTCCAAATGTCATGTAGTTTAGCAGCAGAAGAAGCATTTAAAGAGAAATGGCTTGAAAATCGTAACCGGGAAAGGAGCCCTCAGGGCACTGCCGGGTGGGGCCCTGCTGACACCCCAGCACCAAACCCCGGGTCCTCATCGACGGGAGCACCCCCCCAGACCACAGAGCAGTACCGTAAGTAAAGAGAAAGGGGCGCTTTCCCCAAGAATGAGATCCCTGACAGGTAGGAAAGCTCTGTGAGCAGAGCGCCGAGTGACAGACCAGCTCCTTCCCCTTCGCCGGAGAAGGCCGGGAGCCCCCAGTCTAAGCTTCCTGCACTGACTGCAGATGAATCACTGAGATTCCCACTAGCCCACGCCGGCCGAGTGCAGCAAGCCGCCAGCACTTGAAGAAACAGAGCTGTTTAGTCTGCTGATTACGTTCTGATTGAACGCAGGGACACAGTGACCACAGCAGTACGTCTCTCTGGAACAAGGAGCAATCAGGTGAAGAAGTCAAGGTGCGGGCGGGAGAAGTCAGGAGTCCCACCACCTTTGATCCACTGCGCCAAAAGCCTGCGGAGGCTGGTGGGGTGTGACCCCGAAAGCCCCTTCACCCGGGATCTCTAGGGTGACCTTGGTGGTCCCAGTACCATAGCGCTCAAGAATCACCACATGCTGGGACCCTGGCATAGAAAGACTAAGTCCCCCAGCACTCTTTGGAAGCACCCCCCAACCCCTCTGCCCCCTCCCAAGAAGAAATCAAGCCAGGCTGGGGGTGACGGCTTAGCAACAGTGCCCACCTTATAGGGGTGAAGGCCTGGGTCTAATCCCAGCATGACAAAAATCAAACAACGGGGAGGAAGGCAGAGGGCACTGGGTTAGGGCACTTGCCTTGCACAAGGCTGATCCAGGTTTGAGCTCCAGCACCCCATATGGTCCCCCTGAGCTCTGCCAAAAAGTGATCCCTGAATGCAGAGCCAGCAGTAAGCCCTGAGCACCAACCAGGTGTGACCCAAAACCAAACCAAACCGAAACAACAATAAAATCAAACAAACAAAAGAAGCCAACTAGAATACTTACAACTCGCATTTCCTGTGGCTTCGAATAATCAAGTAACAGTAGCACTACTTTATTGAGCAACTATTGCACGCCAAGTTCTACAAGCCAATTCACTTCACCTTCCTAGTAAGCGTGTAAGGAAGAGATAAGATCTACCCAAGGCCATCAAGTTAACAAGTAGAAGGCCAGAGGTTTGAGCCCAGGCAGTCTGAGTCCAGAGAACAAACTGCTAATCTCTCTTCCACTCTGCAGTCCACGGCTGGGAGAACCCTATCACAAACACTATTTCCTGTGATCTCTATCATCCAAGCACTTCAACTCTGAGGACCATGCAGTTCCTCTTATTTAAATGAATGATAATCTGCACATGCTAATCCCTAAATTACTAGTCACATCACAGCGCTTCTTACATACAGATTCAGCCCAGCTCTTTCCTGGAGCAGGACAGGGCCTTAAAACACAACCACCACAGACACGCGGGTACAGGTTTTCTACGATGGGTGAGTAAAACAGGCGTTTCTCCCTACCAGTGTGATACAGTTTCCCTTACAAACTGGCCAGTTCAATTCAACACTCAGGCAAGAAATCTTCATAATAGTCCCCAGGACCCAATTTGATCATGATGAGATCAACTTGCTAAAACTTTACTCAACTTGCTAAAATTACTTTCTACATAAAACTTTTTCTTACAGTTCACTATTAAAACACTGAACATGCCTCTATTGCAAACTACAACACGAGAGAGAGAGAGAGAGAGAGAGAGAGAGAGAGAGAGAGGGTAGGGCACTTGCCTTGCACGCAGCTGACCTGGGTCAGTCCCTGACACTCCATACGGCGCCTTAAAACCCCCCAGGAGTAATCCCTGAGCACAGAGCCAGGAGTAATCCCTAAATCCCTAAACATGACTAGGTGTGCCCCCCCAAAAGAAAATTTGAGGGGCCAGAGAGTACAAGAAGTCGAGGCGCTTGTCTTGTACGGAGCCGACCGGGGGTTCCATTCCCACACTGTCTACGCTCTCCCAAGCACGCCAAGGGGTGTCGTCCTGAACACAAGCCAGGAATAAAACCTGAGCACTGCCAGGGGTGGCATCCCAACAGCACCCGCCCCTGCCCCGCCCAGAAATAAAAAAGTTATCAGAGAGCCAGGGGAGCACATGTTTCGCATGTAGGAGCCCCGAATTTGACCCCCAGCCCACATGGTTCTCCTAGCCTAGCCCCAGGGACCACCAGAAGCAGCCAACGGCGGGTATGCTCCGGAAAGAAAAACAAAAATTGTCTGAAGGGCGAAGGAAGATTTTTGTGCCAAATAACTATTCTGAAGCGCAGTGACATCAGCCGTCTAACAAACCGCCACGTAGCCGGGTGCTTCCCCTGAACTCCCGATAAACCAACATCCAACAGCTCACCTTAGTTTTCCAAACAGGAAAGCTCTCAAAGTCTTAATCCCAGTCAAGGGGCTGGAGCAATAGCACAGCGGGGAGGGCGTCTGCCTTGCACGCGGCCGACCCGGGTTCGATCCCCAGCATCCCACGGGGTCCCCTGAGCACCACCAGGAGTGATTCCTGAGGGCAGCGCCAGGAGTTAAGTAACCCCTGTGCATCGTGGGGTGTGACCCCCCCCAAAAAAAAGTCAATTCCTTCCATTCATCCTGGAACTGCCAAGTTTCTAGTTCAGGGAAGCAACAACACAAACTTTCCTCCGTCTTTCCTGCCCCTTCCGGGAATCAGATCCTTCTCGGAATCGGGTGGAAGCCACGAGCCTCCTTGGTGTTAGCAAAAGCGCCCTGGAAATTCACCAGACCACCCCGGAGGTTTCCAGAGAATTCCAGCAGGCGCTTCCTCCCCACCAGAGGAGAAAGGCCCAGGCAACCTCCCACCCAGGCTGCAAACTTTTTTTTCCTGTCAAAGCACTTCTTGTTGGCGAGGGTGGGGTGGGGACAGGAGGCAAGGAGGGGGGCTTGGGCACACCTGGGCAGGGCCAGGATGGGGGGCCCTGAGCACTTCAGGATGGGATCCCAAAACCAAAAATAAATAAGACGACAAAACAAAAAAAAATTTTTTTTTTTGTTCAAGTCTCCAAGCACGAGGAGGGTGTTGAGTGAGCCGGACCTGGCTGAGGCGCCACCCAAACCTCACGAGGGACCCCACCCCTGCTCCTGCCTTTCAGTCGCCTCCCCAGAGACCGGCCTCCTGGGGGGTCCCACCAGGCGGCCTCCGGGACCCCTCGGCGCACCTTCGCCCTGACTCTCACGGGGGGCCTCACCAGCCCCCAGACGATCTCACTCACTCTCTGACTGGGCCCCCGTCACCTCCTCCGGCATGAACCCGACGACCGGGACGGGGGGGGGGGGGGCGACTCCTTGCGTGGCCGCCCCCGGCCCCTACCCGCGCCCCGCGGGGCCCGGGGCTCCGAGACCACCAGGTAAACGTGCCGAACGGCTGGAACCAGAAGGCAGGATGTGGCCCCTGGGACCCACGACCGAGGCTCCGGTCGCGCCGGCCCTCCCGAGTGGGGGGTGGGGGAGGGGTCCCGTCAAGCGCGGGCACGGCCGGGGCCCGGGAGCCGGGGTGGGGGGCGCGGGGGGCGTCCAGGCGCGGGGCGGCCGAGCCGGCAGGGCCCTGGGCTCCGGGCCTCGGTGCTCCGCCCGCCGGCGCCGCGGGGGTCGCGGGGGCCCCGCCGAGGAGGGAGGCCCGCAGGCGGGGGGCGGGCTCGGCCCCCGAGTGGGCGCGGCGGGGCCCGGGCGGGCGGCAGCAGCCCGGGCCGAGGGCGGCCGCTGCGGGGCGGAACCAGGAAGCGGGCGGCCGGGGCGCGGGGCCGGGCCGGGGGCTCCGGTGACCTTGGGCCGGCGCGGGCGTCCCCGGTGGGCGCGGGCGCGGGTAACGGCCGGCTCACCCACCGAGCGCCACCTGGCAGGCCCTGCGCAGCTGCGAGTGCTGGGGCCGCTTCACCTCCTTGTCGGCCAGGATCTTCTCCAGGGCCCGGGACACGAACATGCTCTTGGTCTGGCTCTCCTGCATGGTCCCGGCCCGGCGGGGGCGGGCGGCCCCGCGGCGGGCGGCGCGAGCGAGCGGGCGAGCGAGGCGGCGGGCCCCGGCGTCCTGGCCGGCACCGGCCGCGTCCGTCCGCGCCGCCCCGTCAGGAAGCGACGCCGCGGCCCCACGGCGCCGCCATGTTGGAGCGCGTCACGTGACCACGTGACTGGCGGGGCCGCTACGGCCGCCGCGCGTCCGCGAACCCCGTGGCCTCGGCGGGGCGGGGCCTGTGCCGGCCGGGGCGGGGCCTGCGCCGGGCCGGGGCGGGGCTTGTGCGGAGAGGGGTCGGGGCCTGCGCCGGGATGGGGCGGGGCCTGTGCCGGCCGGGGCGGGGCCTGCGTCGGGGCGGGGCGGGCTTGTGCGGAGCGGATCGGGGCCTGAGCTGGGATAGGGCGGGGCCTCTGAGGGGGAGGGGAGGGCCTACCGGGGCGGGGCGGGGCTTGTGCGGGGCGGGGGCGGGGCCTGAGCTGGGATGGGGCGGGGCCTCTGAGGAGGGGCGGGGCCTACCAGAGGCGGGGCGGGGCTTGTGAGGGGCGGGGTCGGAGCCTGAGCTGGGATGGGGCGGGGCCTATGAGGGGGCGGGGCGGGCCAGGTGGACGTGGCAGTGAACCCGTGAGGGCAACGTGGAGGGAGGAGAGATGAGGATGCAAGGAAGGAGTTGAGAGCAAGCAGGGGTGCTGGAGGAGAGGAGATGAGGTGAGGGGACAAAAAGGACCGGGAAGATTGCTCCATAGTTGGAAGCCTGTCTCATGAGCTGGAATAGAGAGGGGATCACTAAGTAGCGATGGTTGGAGGGATCCTCTGGGATGGGAGACGTGTGCTGAAAGTAGATGAAGAACCAGGGGGCTGGAGTGATAGCACAGCGGGTAGGGCGTTTGCCTTGCACGTGGCCGACCCAGGTTCGATTCCCAGCATCCCATATGGTCCCCTGAGCACCGCCAGGGGTGATTCCTGAGTGCAGAGCCAGGAGTAACCCCTGTGCATTGCCAGGTGTGACCCAAAAAGCAAAAAAAAAAAAAAAAGAAAGAAAGAAAGTAGATGAAGAACCAAACGTGATGGCCTCTCGGTATCTGTACTGCAAACCATAATGCCCACAAGGAGAGAGAGAGTATGGGGGAAACTGTCTGCCACAGAGGCAGGGAGGGGGGGGAAAGGGGGGTATACAGGGGAGATTGGTGGTGGAGAATGTGCACTGGTGGAGAGATGGGTGTCCGATCATTGTATGACTGAAACTCGAACATTCAAGTTTTATAACTATCTCACGGTGATTCAATAATAATAATAATAAAGCAACACGGAAGGGGAGAGTGGAGATGGGGTGAGAGGTGGGAGGAAGTGAAGGGAAGGATGGAGAGAAGAAGGGAAGAACCAGGATGGATGGGAGAATTGGGTCACGAGCAGGAGAGGGAAGGGTGCGGGTGAGAGGATATTGGTGCATGACAGTTGAGGGGGAGCAGGTGAAGATCAGAGAAGAGCGAGCAGGGTCAAAAGAGATCAGGGTGTTGGGTGAGAGGGGACGGGAGAGATGGGGCCCGAAGGAAAGAAGTGAGAAGGAGTGGGAGAAAGAAGGCCAGGGGGAGGGGAAGTGGGGAGGAAGGAAGGAGAAAGTTGGGGAGAAGGGCAGGGAGGGGAAGAAGAAGGAGCGAGGGAAAAGGGAAGTGTGAAAAAGACACAAATGGTGCAGAGAGGAACAGGAGAGGTGAGGAAGAATGAATGGGCAGGAGTGAGATAGATGGGTAAGAAGGCTTGCTGGGAGCAGGAGAGAGAAGGAAAGGAAGGAAGGCTTTGGGCAGAGGAAAAGGGGAGGCAAGGAAGTTGGGAAGATGTCCCCAGGGCTCCCTCTCCTGCCTCTGGATCAGCAGAAGCGATGCCTAGCCTGCCCAGACAGCAGAAGCCGCCTGCTTTAAGACTTCACATTTTATAGAGCCAGTGATGGGCTCAAAAGGTCTCAACACTCAGTCGCCATTATCCTTATTTGCCAATGAATGAGTGTGTGAATGAATGAAGTGTGGTTTCTCACCGTTGGAGGGCTGCCCAGGGAGGAGCAGAAGCTCTGGGCAGCCTGACAGTTCCCCCAAACCGCTTGTGCTCAGTAGCCAGATGCCACCTCCATGGTGGCTTCCTTCCCTCCCTTGCACCCCCCCAGTAGTGTGTCCCCAATATACCATGTGCACCCCCCAGCGTGCTTCTGGGGAACTGACTGTGGAGATGGAGTGACAGCTCCTCGAAAATCCCTGTACAGCAGATAGGGCGTTTGCCTTGCATGTGGCCAACCCAGGTTCAATTCCCAGCATCCCATATGACCCACTGAGCCCCGGCAGGAGTAATTCCTGAGTGCAAAGCCCAGAGTAACCCCTGTGCATCGCTGGGTGTGACCAAAAAGAAAGAAGGAAAGAAAGAAAGAAAGAAAGAAAGAAAGAAAGAAAGAGATTCAGCCGAAGAGAAGGACAACATGGAGGGCAGGATCCACAGATCCCGAAGGGAAAAAAAAAAACAAAACAGGTTCCAAAAAGAGCCGAGATCATCGGGAAGTCCCAGATGGGGTAGGTACCGCATCCCACCTCCCCCAGATGGAACCCCGGTGACCAGAAGCCTCTACAAGCACAGCTCGAGTATGCGGGAACTAGGATTTTTCCTCAAAACATATAGACATCTCTCTATATACAAAGTGAACCATGGGAAGTAAACCACCCAACGTTTCTCTCTGAAAATCATAGTTAAGTTTGGAGCACGGCCACAGCCCAGAAACACAAGGACTTAATGCATAACCCAGCAGCTTGGAGCAGAAAAGTGAACGGGCTATGCGTTAATCCAGGCCATCATGTCTGTCCGGAGGGGAAAGGGTGTTGCCCCATTCGCCCTCTCTTCTCTGGAAAGAAGGATGGCGGCCGCATGGGGGTCTTGTGGACAGCAGGTATGAGCCAAGGGTGTGGGGGTGACTAAAACCTCATGGGAAGGGGGGCGTTCCGGTCCGTCCTTCACGCCCTACCGAGGCCACCAGTTGCCCCCCACAAGCGGCTCTCCAGCACGGCCACAGCCCCAGAAGCACAAGGACTTAATGCAGAACCCAGCAACTTGGAGCAGAAAAGTGAAAGGACTATGCATTAATCCAGGCCATCATGTCTGCCCGGAGGGGAAAGGGTGTTGGTCCCTTCTGCCCTCCTCCCTCTGGAAAGAAAGATGGCGGCTGCATGGGAGCCTGTGGACAGCAGGTATGAGCCGGGGGCCTGGGGGCGACTAAAACCTCATGGGAAGGGGGGCGTTCCGGTCTGTCCTTCACGCCCTACCGAGGTCACCAGTTGCCCCCCGCGAGCGGCTCTCCAGCACGGCCACGGCCCCAGAAGCACAAGGACTTAATGCAGAACCCGGCAGCTTGGAGCAGAAAAGTGAAAGGACTATGCGTTAATCCAGGCCATCATGTCTGTCCGGAGGGGAAAGGGTGTTGCCCCAGTCGCCTTCTCCTCTCTGGAAAGAAAGATGGCGGCCGCATGGGAGCCTTGTGGACAGCAGGTATGAGCCGGGGGAGTGGGGGCGACTAAAACCTCATGGGAAGGGGGGCGTTTCGGTCCGCCCTTCACGCCCTACCGAGGCCACCAGTTGCCCCCCACGAGCGGCTCTCCAGCACGGCCACGACTCCAGAGCACAGAAACCAATTTCTTAACTATCTGACTTTCAGTAGAAATACTTCCAGGGTCAATAAGTAAAATAGCAGAAATCCAAAACCAACATTTAATTCTTGAACCCAGCTGTAGAAAGCAAATCACTTCACAATGCTTTTTCAGCATGTCTGATTTGGCGGGGGGGTAAACTCTAAATAATAGTGGTGAATCTTCTATTGAAACAGTGAATCTAATCAAAGCAGATAGAGTGTTAACTAGAATTCATCTGCCCCACAGGGACTGGGAGGGGTGGGGGGTGGGGTTTTATTGGGGTTCTTCATGGTAAAAAATAAGTATTGGTAAAGGGAAATGCGTTTGATATTTGCATGACTGAGACCTAAACCTGAAAGCTTTGTAACCTTTCCCACGGTGATTCAATAAATAAATAATAAATAAATAAATAAAAAGAAAGAAAGAAAGAAAGAAAGAAAGAAAGAAAGAAAGAAAGAAAGAAAACCCCTCTCTCAACCTGGATCCCGCACACCCATGTCCTGACGTGTGTGAGGGACTTTGTAGAGAGGAGTGACTAGAAGCTGGAGAAGGGCAGATAATCTGAGGCTGCCTGGGGGGAGCCACCCGTGAGAGTCTGCACGGGAAGTGGATCTGAGCGAGGCTTTGGAGATGAACAAGGCCGTAAGCCCAGGAGTGTGGGTTGTCTAGAATTTGGAGCTGATTGGAAAATGGGGCACCTCTGGGGCCTCCAGGAAGGAGACCGTGAACAGTCCTGCATACTTGTACGAGGAACACAGTGGATGCAGGCTCCAAACACAGCCAGTGGGCTGCGTGCCAAGTCAGGCTTCGTCTATGGCGGGCTGGAGGGTCCCTGCAGAGACAGACCCCTCCCAGCTCTGTTCTTCTGCTGTAAAGCCGGGACAGTAGCAGACGTGCCTCCTGGGTTTTCTGAGGGGCTAACATGGGTGAGTGTGTGCAGAGCCCCTAGAATATTCTCTGTCACATGGAAGAGGCAGCCGCCTTGCTCAGAGGACCATGTTTTCCTTCTCAACATACCCATGGACTGAAGTCCAGTCTGAAGTTGAAGTTGAGAAAGGAGGCAGGTTCTCTGGGGCTTTACAATCATGACTATCATAATAATATATTACCATATCATAGATATAACTAATATAAAATAATACCAACAACACATCCTTTATTATATTGGTAAAGAGAACCTAAGACAGTCAAAGATGGACCCAGACGACCTAGAATACCTCAGATGAGCAGATCCAAAGACACAGGAAACAGATCCGGACTTTGGGGCCCCAGGAAGGGGGACCCTGGGGCCTCTGCTTATGGGAACAGGCATTCTTTGAAGGTGATCAGAATGTCCCGAAATTTGGTTTTGACCAGGGTGGCATAACCCTGACACACAAAAGCACTGAATTGGGCCTTTTAGAGAGATAAGTCCATGATGGTCCCCAATGGTTCATGATGGTCTAAAACAGCCCACAACAATCCATGATGGG